TTCTGCCTCCAGGCTCCAAATTGTATCGACCTTTGTTGAACTCTCAAGAAACACTTCACTCTACCCTCAGAAACTTTCAGTCGTAGCTCCACTATAACAAGTCCAGGATAGCCCAGGAAGCCTTTGATACCCCATTCACACCAACGGTGTTTCAGGGCCGGTTCGGAGCTGGAGCTTGAAAAGCACCGGGTTTTCCTGTTCACACCGCGGCGGAGCAGCCTCTTAGCTCCGGAATCCGGTTCATTTCAAGCACCAAAAAATTGTCCGGCCAGAGCAAAAGCACCACATACGTCACGCTTACGTCGAGGCGGGGGCGGGGGGCAGGGGCGGGGGGATCAACTCCTGAATAACAACAACAAGCCAGCGTTTTATCCAGTTTGTACACAACGATGGAGAAACTTAACAAGCAGCAGTGGTCCACTGAAGAGACCAGCTACCTACTGGGAATCTGGTATTCCGAAGAGGTACAGAGGAAGCTGGAGCACAATCGGCCATTGTTGTTGGTGTCAGCTGTGAGGGGTTTCCGCGCGGTTTGGCTTTATGAAGCAGGCACGCAAACGGTTACGTCATGACGCAAACGATGACGCAATGACGCAGCACCAGTCTGACTCTGGGCAGTGTGAAAAGAGCCGGAGCTAAACCGAAGAACCGGTTCTGAACCTGAAAAGCTCTAGCACGGAACTCGAACCGGAGTTGCGTTGGTGTGAATGAGGTAAAACTGACCTTGTTAGCAACAACTTTCAGCCAACTCATGCCAGCTGTGGATGGTGAATGGTTGTGATGAATGAGGGTGAAGGGGTCTTCTGTAGTTTACCAAAATCCATACAGAGTCTGCAGGTATGAAAGCAGGTGGCTTAATTGGAGAGAGAGGTTGAGGTGGAAGGTTGGAGCTCGATTAAAGAAGCGTTCAGGGCAGAGCAGGTAATTAAATAGCCCCTGTTGGGGTCATTTTCAGGTTCATATTGTATGTAGTGTCTCTACTGGGACATGTCTCCATACTTTAATGTTCAATAAGCTCTTTCTCATACTGCCTGTGCTGCAGCACCTCTTTTCACCCTCTGTCTGAAACCAGAGCCCAGTCTGTTGTGATTGGTCAACCGCTTAGAGATGTCCCGCCCCTTATCACGTACAATGTGTTGGAGTGCTGGCCAATAGAAGTGCGGGTGTTACATAGTGATGTCAGAAGGGCAGTTGCACCATAAAGAAGCTGCATTTTTAAACACTAACACATGTTATTATTGTATATACTTTTACACTCCAGCTCATTTAGTATTCCTTTCGTGAAATATTTGCAACATGCGTCTAATTACAAACGATATCTGGCACATGCACTTCTACCGTGCACGTATAATAAGCCTTAAATGTTCAGCCATCTTTAGCCATGGTGCGGCCTTATGGATCGCAATGTCTGTCTGATTGTTATTCTCAGTCGGTCAACCCCTTTAAGTCTGGACTAAAATATCTCAGAGTATTTAATGGATTCCATGACATTTGATAAGGGCTTTTCACATTTCATATTCTAAGCCCAGGGCTATCCTTAGCCTGGAGCTAAGTGCTATGTGAAGCCTAATACAGACATTAGGTTTCCCCTCTGGATCCTCATGACTTTAGTGGTCCTCTTCATGTAGCGCCACTATCAGGTTCACATTTTTGGCTTTTTTGGAACATTTCACAAAGCTATAAGTTGGCTTGCCATGAAATTGATTTATTGATTAATTTCTCTGTCATGAATCATAATGACGTCGCTTGTCCCTTTAAGATATATCGTCATATCTTCAAAATATCTCTTTCTGTTCGTCTAATACTTTGATTAATGACCAAATACCTGCAAAATACTCAGCTGTACTTAGTGTTTAGTGCAGGTGAGCAACTATAAGATTGCAGAACAAGATAAACATGTCTGATAAACATCAACATGGTATACTATATTTTTGATAAATAAATGTAGCTTGACGTGTCAGCTTCACAGTTCATTAGGAAAAAGAGAACGCACTTTATCTCTGTTCCTCTCTTCTGTTATTTCTCTGGCCTTGTACTGTTTCTCTATTGATCTTCAGACCACATTTACATCTTCATGCTGAATACTAAAGTCAGATTGACTTTATATCACATGTTCTTCTAAGATTAACACCACACACATACCAATGCCAACGGATTGCTTTGTCACAAGATGTGAAAACAGACTTTTGTGTCTGCTTGTCCTTCAAGCTGTCATCGGCTCGGGCAATTTGTTTTTGTCTCTAAAATTATGGAATTTGTTGGAGCGATTTTGAATAAGCCATGCTGATGAATACCAAGTGAAGCTTCCACATGCACCTCTCATGGATGTTGGGATGTGGTTTTCTGTGTAGTTTGTTCCTCTTTCTTAGATCTCTCTTTCTCCCTGTCACTTTTCTTTCCTTCAGTCTATATCTAACAGCTCCCTTTCACTCGCTCACATGCACATACTCGGCTCCACAGTGGCATGAAATCTCATCCCGCCCATCAACAGGTGCGGCCGGGCTGAGATTGAACATGTGTCATCGGGTGCGGCACGGAGATGACAGGGCATCTATCACGGCTTCTCGTCGCCATTTCCACGCCATGTATTTTCCCCGGCCTTCCCCCCCCCCAGGTAGGTGCTCTGGCTCATCGCCCCTGACATCCAACAGCAGTGCAGAAGTCTTATTCTGACAATAAAAATACTTGACAAAAGGATCTGTTCTCAGAGGAAAGATCAGTCATTTTTCCGTCCCCCTTAAAAGAAACAAATCCACAGTTTGAATAAGTCACATACTTTCCCGCCTCTGACATAACATCAGAGGCAGCGCTGAGACAGATATCATCCCGTTTCTCCCCCGAGTTATTTGTCACAACTCTCCTTTGAGCACTTGTGTTGCTGTTTTCATGATGTCTGCACAACTCCTTTGGGATTTATAAAAGTCAGAGTCATTTAGGAGGACCTCTTGGTGCAGTTATGAATTTAAGAAGCTATAGGTGGCTCGTTAGTTCCCTGCTTTAGTTTTTTTTAAGTAGCTCTCTCCTCTAGTTAACATAAAGGGCCTTGAAAACCAGGAAATGATATGTTAAGTAAGACAGTGTTAGGCTAAATGATTGGTTTGTCACTTAATAGTGATTCAAGTTATTATATAAATGAAATAACTTTAATTAAAGAAACATGAGAGGAACTCCTTTCATTATTGAATAAAAGCTTTATTGGCCCGAGGGAGTTTTATTTTATATGTAAAAACCATACAGTACACCACCATAGATTACTGAACATAATATCATCTAAAGTGATCATTTGTAAGCATGGTTTGGGAAATTAAGGTGGACTTTCTCCCTCCTAGAAATGTCATTCAGTTCGACAAAAAGGCCTTATTTGAAGCCATTTGCTTCTTCTTCTGGGTTTGGTTTGCTGAGCACACAAGCTTTAGTTTCACACAGTTAAACACGGTGACAAGTGGAAAGCCGGTGCAGAACAGCAGGAGACTTCTTGTTCAGAGCAGCTCACATTTTAAAATCCATTGCTTGAGGGATATTACTCAATGTTCCTGACCCCAACCTTTAAATACGTTGTGTTAGCCTCATCAGCGGCTCGGCTCGAGGGCTGGAAATGTCAGGAAACTGGTCGTTCCCCCACTTTGGACCAGACTGAAAGTTTTCAACGGCTATTTGGTAATTTGGCATTAAGATAAATGTATTTTTCATTTAGCCTCCGATCAGTTCACTGACTATATCCAGTGTATTCTCTATACAAATATTTCAGTTGTACCAGTTCTGCAAATCATTTAATTAGCAGTAATCAGATCGATTTGGACAGATTGGGATGAGGTGTCCAGTGTAAATACATTAGCTTGATTTTTTAAGTGAGAGGAAGTCCTGTCTTTAATTACCTCAGCCTCATAGGTAATTGTTGTCTGGCTGGGGATTTGAACCGGCAGCCTGGAGGTCTCAGACTGGTCTCTGCAGGCTTTTAGGTTGTCAGATCTTGTTTCATTAACGTAACAAATAGCTGCTCTGCACCCCCAAGTCTCTCACTTACAAGACAGAGTGCTACAGCAGGGACCACAGCCTTTTCCACAAAATTACCTTCAGCCTAAAAATAGACCACCGCATCGCACACGCACATATTCGCAGACACACACGCACACACACACACACACACACACACACACACACACACACACACACACACACACACACACACACACACACACACACACACAGAGGCTGAGACAAACGCAGTAAACGTGCATTGATATAGTGTATATGTACACATAAGGGACTACAATGTGACAGAATGGGAGTCTCTCTGCGTCTTCTNAAACGCACACCACCTTCACAGATCAAACGCACCTCTATAGACATGACTCAGCTTCACAGATCAAACTCACCTCTATAGACATGACTCAGCTTCACAGATCAAACGCACCTCTATAGACATGACTCACCTTCACAGATCAAACGCACCTCTATAGACATGACTCAGCTTCACAGATCAAACGCACCTCTATAGACATGACTCACCTTCACAGATCAAACGCACCTCTATAGACATGACTCACCTTCACAGATCAAACGCACCTCTATAGACATGACTCACCTCTATAGACATGACTCACCTCTATAGACATGACTCACCTTCACAGATCAAACGCACCTCTATAGACATAACTCACCTTCACAGATCAAACGCACCTCTATAGACATGACTCACCTTCACAGAACAAACTCACCTTATTTTAGTTCAAACCCAAATAAAGGCAGGTTATTTCCT